TTCATAATCAAATGTGCCTGTTTATATGTTTTGTTTTTCTCTTAAGTACTACGTTATATCAAGAACAAATTGCCATATTGATGAAATGCACGTTTTTCCCTTTAGGATTTATTTGCACAATTTTTTCAGGTACCTAGAACAGAGGAGGATTGGTTGTTTATTGCGAAACAGTTTGATGAACTGTGGAATTGTCCTCACACACTAGGTGCAATCGATGGAAAACACGTAATAATACAGTGTCCAATAAGAAGTGGCAGTGAATTTTTTTCCTATAAAGAGATGTTTAGCATTGTTCTTTTTGCACTTGTTGACGCAAATTACAACTTCATGTTTGTCGACGTAGGCTGTCAAGGTAGAATATCAGATGGAGGGGTGTTTGCCAACACAGAGTTATATAATAAACTGGAAACAAAATCTTTACGTATACCTCAGCCTACACCTCTAGTTAATGGCTCAACAAAATGCATTCCATATTTCATCATAGGAGATGAAGCTTTCGCTCTGACTGAGTATCTAATGAAAGTATACCCTGGGTTTTATCCAAAAGGGTCTAAAGAACGCATTTACAACTATAGGATTTGCAGAGCACGCAGAATTGTTGAAAATGTTTTCGGTACAGTGTCATCAGTTTTTCGAGTTCTTAGAAAACCAGTGCTTCTGGAACCTGAAAAGGCAGAACTCGTAGTTATGACAATCGCTTGCCTTCACAATTTCTTAAGAAGGCAATCAGCAACGATCTACACTCCCCCTGGAACTTTCGATTATGAAGAGAACGGCCAGCTAATCAGAGGAAGCTGGAGAGCACTTGAAAATAAAACTCCCACGTCTTTACTTTCTATCAGAAGAGTGCCTAGGAAGTCATCTTTGAAAGCAAAAGAAATTAGGCAGGAACTAACAGATTATTTCGTTAATGAGGGAAGAGTTGAGTGGCAAGAGAAATATGCGTAGAAACGCCTATGATTATCGTGAGGCTATTATGAATTTTCATTTATGTTTATGAATTAGTGTATACAATAGTTTATGAGTTTATGAATTATCATCACTATCAAGTACGAACACTTAGATTATAAACTAAAATTTATTATTTAAATTTAAAGTAACTATAAACCTTCAATTTTTCGAAATACTTACAGTGTTAATAGTTCGACGGGGGGTGTTTTTGTCCAAGAGGAACTTTAAGCTGTCAAATGCAAACCATGTACTCTTATAAATTTCGTCTGCACCTTTAAAAAATATAACAAATTATAGTTAGTTAGGTATGGTTATAGTTTGTGTACGAAAAGTTACTATATATATATGTATATA